TTTGCTCAATATCACTCGTCAGCGTCATTTTAGGGACGAACACTGGTCTCTGGGTATCCAAGCCATTTTGAGTTTCTTCTATGTGCTCCAGGGCAAATTCTCTCTGCAGCTTCCACAACAGAGTCCAGTCTCTCCAATCCTAAATTCAACCTCTCCTGAGATCTCTCTCTCCATGAGCACAGGTTTTTAACCTCGAGTCTAATGAACCAGCTTGCATCTACAAACCGCTCAGTCTGGGTGAGAAAGGCACCCTAACAGGACTCTCATACACTGCTAGCAGGTGTACAAACTGCAACACACTTCCACTTCCAAGGGATTCACACCTATGCCGCATAGCAAAGCGAGTCCCATAGGTAGAGTCCCAATAGAGGTGGAATTATGCCCACCAAAGACCTGCTCAGGAATGCTGTGGCAGACTTCATCACCATCAGCAAAAGCTGGAAAGAGCCCAATGTCCACAGGGGGAGGGGATAAACAAATTATAATCAAGTCGTACAGAGGTGCAGTCATATAATAAAAGGAACAAATGAATGAGACAAGTGAAATTCATTGCTATACTGAACAAAAGAAATCAGGGACATAAGTGACGATTTACTGTCCATCCACATGAGATTCTAGAAAGACCTTAACTGATTGATGCTCGTAAAGATCAATATTGGGTGTAGGGAGTATTGACTGAGAAGGGCCACGAGGAAACCTACCAGAAAGCTGGAATGTTCTATATCCTGACACGATACAGAAGGGACACCTATGTAAAAAAAAGCCCACGGTGTTATAAACTTAAAATGTGTGCACTTTGACGCACACACTGAAAACCAAACCCACTGCCCTCAAGTTGGTTCCTGTTCGTGTAGATCCTACAAGACAGAGAAGAACTGCCCAGAGGTTTCCCAAGGCTGTGACTCTTCACGGACACCAGCTCCTTCATCTTCCTCCTGCTGAGCAGATGGTGGGGATGAACCGCCAATATCCAATTTTTTTTTTAATTACTGAGCAACCAAGTACTTTAACCACTAAATCATCAGGGCTCCTGATGTGTGTGTGTGTGTGTGTGTGTGTGTGTGTGCAATATACCTGTGGAAAACTGTGCAGGCCATATCTGCCATCTTCTGTTCCCCCAAAGAGGATTGTCACAAGGCAGACGTCAGGCGTGCCTTCACCCTCCGTCTCTGAACCCGATACTCCCCCCAAGTGTTCCTCTGCTGTCCCCACATTCTACTTTTCTGCTGGGTTCTGCCATTCATTGCAGTGTCCACACAGAATTCACAGACAATGCTCATGATGATGGCAATTCTTAGAGGAGTCCACCGGTTGGTTACAGTTCCAGACAGAAATGCTCAGGATGCAGTTTTCCGTCTGTACAGTTTCTGTGCTGAGGATGGGAGCTGTGGAATGAGGTAGCAGAGGAGCCAGGTGAGAGAGAGACTGGTTTGCTTGAGGGGTGAAGGAATTCAGGGTTGAACCTGTTGACTGTGAAGGAGCCAGAAGCCGGCATATGGCGGGTATGGCACGTGCCCTGGGCACTGCTGGAAGGGGGGCTACCAATGACCAGTTTCTATTTGCCATTGGAGGGGGCGCCCTCCGGGGAGTACCTGGCTAGGTAAGGCTGGAGACAGACAAGGAGTCTGGGCTGGGGACTATGGGGCTCTTGTCTGTCCTCATTGGATGCTACAGACAGGTAGCCCATGGGCCAGACTTACCTTGCTGACAAATATCTTTCTGTCTACACAACATTTTTAAAAAGCTAAATTAATTGGTAACAGTTAAAAAATATAAGCATTAAATTTCTGGCTTGAAGAATCAGACAGTCTAGCAATACTGGGGGCTTTCACCCATGGCAAAACTCAGCTGGAGATGATTAGCCAAATCTTGACCGCTCCAAATACCCCCCAGTCCTCCCAATCGGTAGACTTTCCTTCAACAAATCACGGCTGAGTGCCAGTGAACGTCAGACAGGGCCCATCACAAGCAAATACACCAGTAAAATGGGCCTTGTCTCAGTTGGTGGTAAGAACAAGAAAACATGATAATGGGACCAGGAAGGAGCATAGCGACTAGCAGGGTGGAGATCAGCTTACAGTTTTAACGAAGGTGGTCAGGAAGGTCCTGTTGAGAAGTGGACCAAAGACTTGGTCGAGAGGAGGAAGCTCTGGGCAGAAGGGGCAGGAGTGCAAAGGTCTCGGTGAGGTCATTAATGTGGCGCCTCACGAGCTGGGAGAGCAGTCAGGAGGCCAGTGTGAGAACACAATGGGGCAGTCAAAGTCACACGCCGCCACCGACTTGGCTTTGACTCTGAGCGAGGCTGGAACACGCGCGGTCCTGCGCTGGAGAGGGCGTGGCCGACTCGGGAAGTCACTGGATCCCTGCGCCTACTACGCCCAGGTAGGAGTCTCTAGGGATGAAGGTGGGAGGAAGCAGCAGTCCCCAGATGTAACGTCAGCTCCGAAAAGGGGCAGGAGCTGCAGAGGTGGTGAGAGGCGTCAGATTCTTGAATCGCAAGACAGTATTTGCGGATGGGCGAGAGGGGGATGCGAGAGAAAGAACTACTTGAAGGTGTTTGTGTCCTGAACCATCCAAGGATGGAGATGGGTGAGTACAGGGAAGCAGGTGTGGCGGAAGGACGAGCAAGGACCCTGAGACCCCTGGAACCCTGAAGACGGAAGGGCTGGGAACGTGAGAGCCTGCGGAGGAGGAAGGAAGCTCTCCTGTTTGGTATCAGCGAGTTTCTAGTCCGAACCCGCCAGAATCACCATCTCTCTTTATCCAGGGTGTGGGCTCAACCCAGTTAAAATTCCCCAATCCCAAATGTCTCCTTGGAGACTCGAAAGAGGTAAAAACAAAAACATTCAAGCTCACTGCCGACTCCCAGAGATTCTATAGGAGTAGAACTGCCCTTGGGGGGTGCCGAGACTGTGAGTTTTTACGGAGTAGAAAGCCTTGTTTTTCTACCACAGAGAGGCTGGTGGTTTGGATCGCAAGCCCTGCCCCACGCAGGCTCCTTCGAGGTCGCAATGAAGGGAAAAGGTTAGGTTGCAGCTCCAGGTATGGAAGGGAGGTGGCGCTACGGGACAAGGAATAGGCAGAACTTTGCCGTGGAAGTAGGCTGTGAATTTAAAAAACAATCTGACTGCCATCTAGTCCATGCCTGGTGGCCTATTAGTTATATGTTACGCTGCGATGATAGGCATGTCCCGCAGTTCGAAACCACCAGCAGCTCCAGCAGCTCCACAGGAGAAAGATTGGGCTTTCTACTCCTGTGAACAGTCCCAGTCTCAGAAACGCACCGATGGCAAAGATAGTCTGTACCTACTCAGCACTACCCTATAAGACCCTAACACCTTGATGCTAAACAGTGACTGGTGGTTTCGAACTGCTGATCTTAAACTTTCAGAGACTTGTGGGAAAGCACCATTCTAGAATCTTAGCAGAGTCTGGGTGGTTTAAATGTTGAGTATGTGGGGCTGCTAACTGGATAGTTGGAGGTTAGAGCATATCCCAAATCAAACCACATTCACTGGCAGCTTGTCCATGCCGACACTCAGC